AAAAAAAAAAAATCTCAAAAAAGAATCAGAGAACAAAAACAAGAAAGAACACTACAATAATGAACGAATTCTTAAACAAATATAGAACCGAAGATATAACAAAAAAGAAAAAGGTAATACTACCAACAATACCAAAAAGAATAACAATGATGTTGAATAAAAACTTAAAAGAAATACAACATAAACAGAAACAAGAAACTCAAAATTAAGAATTTATAAAAGATCTAGAAGAACTAATGAAAGGAATAACAAACATAAAAAATGAATACAAGGCAATTTAACGAATGTCAAAAGGAAAACTAGACAAAACATATCAACAAATACAAACTATACCAACCCTACCACAACACATTAAGGAAATACAAGACAATGAAACATCTAGAGAAAAAATATATGACTTCTTAAATTGGCATAAAGATCAATTAGAACCAACTAAGCAATATTATAAAGATAAAATTGCTGAACAAGAATTGAATTTCCAATATACTTATAATGATGTTATACAAATACAACTATCACAATTCATACAAATGAATATAGCTGATAAGCACCTAGTTATGCAACAACTAGTAGGAGATTCAAATAGCAATCCAAACCCTAAATGAAGAGAATTGGTAAGACAAAGTTACTTCGACAACATAACAATAGAATTAAAACAATTTGATCATAAAAATCAACTAGAACAATGAAAACAACAACAAAGTAATATAATAAACGAAGATGATTTAGATAGTATTAAATCTGACAAAGAATACCAACAAAAGAATGACAAATTTTTTTGGCCAACTATATAAAGACCAAGAGATGGTAGATCCAAACCAATACCAAACAATATATAATAAAAGAAATATATCAGATTTAAATCTAGGAGGCAAAAGAAGTAAATCAAACACACATATATACCACCACCTTCACCAAAAAATACTTCAAAAATTACACTGATACATTCACAAGAACAATCAATAGATTTTGGAAACATGAAACAATCAGATGCATCACCACATTCTATAACAATAGTACCCATTTCACCAAAAATAGTAAAACAAAGATTCTCTGAAACAATATCAGCATATGTACCAAAAATACCAACATTCTTTTCACGAAAAGATTCAAATCAAAATTTAAGAAAAAGCTCACTAAAGGATAATGCAACTACACAATTAACACAAGAACCAACAATACAAATGGAAGGTTTACAAACTAGCGAATTCATAATACTACCAATACTAGATGAATTCAAACGACAAAGACAAGAGTTGTTTAATAAATGATATAAGCAACCAGAAATATCAAAATCACAAGAAAAACAAAGCGAACCAACCATTGAAGAACAAAATAAATTCAGACAATCAACAGTATTTGACAAACCATTTGAAACAATGATTGAAGATATTGACCAACAAATAAAAAATACTACATAAGAATCACCAAGTGAATCAATGAAAGTATCGCCTGAATTGAAACTGGTTGTGAACCGACCATCAACATCTATTCCTAAAAAAAGAGGAACTATGTATGGATATAATATCAAATTGGACTCTGTGGAATTACAATACAAACCAATCAAAATGAATAGAAAAACTATAAGGCTATACAAAGTATTAGCACATAAACCGAA